TGATCTTCCTAATGTTGTATAAAGCAAATCTGCAGGACCTGGCAGTTTTAGCAATGTGGTCTGAGAAATTCAGCTTATCATCAATCACAACTCCAAGGTTTCTAGCTGTTTTTGAAGGAGTTATGGTTGATGAGCCTAACTGGATGGTGAAATTTTGATAAAGTGATGGGTTTGTTGAAACCTCAAGCAGTTCTGTCTTAGCCAGGTTGAGTTGAAGGTGATGGTCCGTCATCCAACAAGACATGTCTGTTAGACATGCTGAGATGCGAGCAGCAATCGTCGGATCATCAGGATGGAATGAGAGCTAGAGTTGAGTGTCATCAGCATAGCAGTGATCTGAAAAGCCATGTTTCTGAATGACAGAACCTAGTGATGCCATGTAGACAGAGAAGAGAAATGGTCCAAGAACTGAGCCCTGAGGCACCCCAGTAGCTAGATGGTGCGACTTGGACACCTCACCTCTCCAAGATATCTTGAAGGACCTATCTGAGAGATAAGACTCAAACCACTGGAGTGTGGTTCCTGAAATGGCCTTTGCCAATAGGTTTGACAGGAGGATCTGGTGGTTAACTGTGTCTAAAGCAGCGGACAGATCCAGCAAGATAAGTATTGAAGATTTGGAATCCGCTCTTGGAATAGGATCAAGCAGACAAGTAGTAGGATGATTAGAAAGGATGAGTTTGGAGACTTCTGCCTCAGAGAGTGAAGAGAATGATGTGAACGAGTGTATGTTTGCTGATAAGATGTGCTTGACAGATTGTGGTGTGGAAAATTGTCCACTGATGGATTTAATTTTATTAATGAAGAACGTGGCAAAGTCATCAGCTGTTAGAGTTGACGAAGGAGGGGAAGGAGGAGGAGGACAAACGAGGGAGGAAAATGTTTTAAAGAGCATGCGAGAGTTAGACGAATTGTTAATTTTGTTATGAGATGCTAACTGTTTAGGGGGAGGAAGCGAAGATGCATAGCAGATAGCATAGCATAGCATATATAGCATATATAGCATAGCATAGATGCATAGCAGATAGCCGGGAGGGTGAGAGTGAGCGTAGGTTACGTCGAAAGATGACATGTGGAGGGGTATGTGTTGAGTCAGGAACCATGTTGAGGCTAAGAGTGAGGAGGAAGTGATCCAAGGTGTGCAGTGGAGTAACCAGTACATGATCAGTGGAGCAGTGTCGTGTGTAAATAAGGTCCAGTTGGTTGCCTGATTTGTGAGTAGCAGTAGTTAACACTTTCTTGAGATCAAAAGAGGCAAGCAGAGTGTGGAAGTCTGCAGCCTGAGGTTTATCTAGGTGGATGTTGAAGTCTCTAAGCATAACTAGGGGAGTACCATCCTCAGGAAAGGTTGAGAGCAGCACATCTAATTCATCCAAGAAGTTACCTTGTGGTCCTGGGGAATTATATTTCAATTATAATTATATTTCATATAATTCAAATAGTGGTTCATATCCTGTTTTTGAGCCTCTTTTAAACTCTCAAGTTAAAATTCAAATTTTGAAAAACTGCTTCACTTTTTGCCTTTGTCTTTTAGGGAGTTTGCTGGACTTCTTGAAGGAGGGTGAGGGCAAGTACCTCAAGCTGCCCCAGCTGGTAGACATGGCTGCCCAGGTGAGAGAAAAACCCAACCACGATCCACTGTTAACCAGCCAGCTTTGTTTTCCTTTTCCACATGTAGTAACGCACAGCTGCCCAATCGTTAGCAGAAGCATGTCACAGTGAACCTGGACGGGTGGCATCTCCCAGAGCAGCAGGGTTTCTGTTTCAGCCTCCATCTGGCTGTCATATTTATTTAATATCTGATATGACATCCTGCTGCCTGTGTGTCTCTCCCAGGCACTATGATCCTCATTTCCCGCCTAATGCCTGAAGCACTTAACCGCCACTCCTATGGGGCCACTTCACTTTAATGTGTCTACTCAATTCTGCTCTGTTCGCTTAAAATGCTTGCTGTTGCTCTCTCACGTTCCACTTCAATACTGCACTCTCTCTCTCTCTCGCCTCCCTGGGCTCCCATCGCTGCCGCATTGCTTGGCTGAGGCTTCAGTCTCCCTCTCACATCTCAGCTTGAGATGATGCTTATGAAAACCTTTTGCAGTCTAAGATTGTTTGTTAAATTCCCTTATTTTCTTCCTGTTTTCTTCTTTCAAGCCTGTATTTAGCAAACAGTTTGCTTGCTTTGTAGATTTTGCCCATAAGCACCTATATCAGGGGTCACTAAACTCGGTAGTGGAGGGCCGGTGTCTAGCAGAGTTTAGCTCCAACTTGCCTCAACACACCTGCCTGGAAGTTTCAAGTATACCTAGTAAGAGCTTGATTAGCTGGTTCAGGTGTGTTTGACTAAACTCTGCAGGACACCGACCCTCCAGGACAGAGTTTGGTGAGCCCTGAGCTATATAAACATTGGTTAAACCATAGCTTTTAAGAAGCTTTGATTTTGTGCCACCTCATCTGAACCCATAAATGCAACATTTCAGCACTCTTAATATAGGATTTCCATGACTGGAACTGACATGTTGGCTTTTATAAGAGTTTCTGGAGGCTTGATTTCCTCTCATCTTGTCTAGGGTCTGCAAGATCGCCGACTTTGGCCTGGCTAGACTGATTGAAGACAACGAATACACTGCAAGACAAGGTACGTGGGTGGAAATGCAATATTAAAACATTCTATACATTCTATAGTGATAATTACCTAATTGCCTGGCCATGCTTTATCTGATATTAGAAATAAATCATGATTATTATCCACATTAAATTCCAATCATGTATTACTATCCGACAGGGAATTTTAAGTGAATGTAGTAGACTTATATTATTATATTACTGGAATAATATTCCACTCAGGTTGTGAATGAAAAGTAGATGAAGAAAGTGAAGCAAAATGATTTTTTTTTACTCCTGTGCATTTTATTTTACGAAGCATTCCGGGAAATTATATATTTTATTCTATAATTATAATTAATATAAAACCAAAGCTTTGATTTGAAAATGGAAACGATATATGCATGGTGAAATATGTAACTCACCATCTTTTGTCTGCAACAATGCTGCTACTGGCAACAAAGCTGTTGTGCTGGAAATTACAAGGCAATCAGCATGTAATCATACAGAATTACCTCACTTACGGTCTGAATCCATCATCTCCCAGAATGCACTGTGATTGTGTAGAGCATGTTGACTTGCCATTACCTACATAAATGGTGAATGATGGTTTATTTCCCTGCAGGGAGTCTTGAGAACCGTCTCAGGTTACTTATGTAACCATGGTTCCCTGAGTAGGGAACGAGACACTGCGTCCTCTAGGGGTCGCTATGGGGAACGCCTCGTCGTGACCCGTGTCTGAAGCATACATTGAAAAAACACCAACTCGTTGGCCGGTGACAGCCATGACGTCACTACCGGTGCGACTATAGTATAAATAGGCGCCGGGAGCTACACATCATTCACTTCTTCGTCTGAAGCTTGCGTCCGCAGCATGGCAAGAAACTTAGAGGACGCAGTGTCTCGTTCCCTACTCAGGGAACCATGGTTACATAAGTAACCTGAGACGTTCCCTTTCATGGGAACTTCGAACTGCGTCCTCTAGGGGTCGCTATGGGGAAC